CAACGACAAGTGAACACTAAGCCAATTTGTTCTTACGTTGCCTACGACCAAGCGACGTATGCTCGAGCCTCTAGGCTCGGTTTAAGAAGAAGGTTTTAAAAAATGAGGGCAGAGAAAGATTTTTGAAAGAGAGGTTATATGCAAGCAAGAGAGTAACAACAACGATTCACAATATATAACTTTTGGTAGGGAGAGGTTGACAATTAGTCATATCCCCTATAATACATTCTGATACATTTCATATCTGGCAGGCCTAGACATGATTTTTCGGAAACGTCATACTTCATAGAAATACAAAAATAAAACACTAGAACATGGAAAGACATAAAGGGTTTGGCTTGTCATGGGCATGCGGCCATGGGCAACACGCCTTGGACAAGCATGACCGTGACACTGTATGGGCAACCAAAGTGTGAGCTGCCTCATTGACGTTCGTGTGAGTTAGAATAAAGCGTTTATATGATGGGTTTGTAAATATGTTTTTAGACCAATGTAACTTTGCAGAAGTGTATACGAGTTAAGTTGAGTGGGTTTGGAGAACTTTTAAGCCAACCCGAATCCAAAATTTCGGGTTGGCTGGATTGGTGAGATGAAGTTTAAGTTGAAAAAAATATAATCAATAACCTCAAAATCTTAGTTGGAACTTTAGAGGGTGAAGCAGCCACTGCCACCGCCCCTCAGCTCAGTGAACGAGTCTTAAACTCTCATATCTTCTTCAATCCTTCACCAACATCGCCTCCTTTCCCAAAAATGTCGGCCCTCGGTCTGCTCCGTAAGGCACTTCGATCGCACTTCGTTACTCCTTCTGCAAGGGCAAATCATGGCCTCCCTGTGTTTTTCCGCCAATCTCCAAGATTCTTCTCGACGGAAGGGGAACAACCCCCTTTAGAATCGCCCGCCGATCCTTTTCTCGATACATCAAAAACAGCAGGTATGAATCTCGTTCCAATGTCTTCGTCGAGTCCGGGCAATGCTTTTATGTGATATATCGGGAGAGGTTTAGGGTTTATAGATGGTGGCGGGTGAAAATTTTGGGAACAATTTTCTTTCTCCTTTACTCGATTTAGTTCTTATATCTTTGATTTTTGAGATATTTGGAATGCATTTAATCGCAACAAAATCATTTTGGAGTACTTACTGCTATTCTGGTGTCATTTCTCGTCTGATTTTGCGTGGTGCGATGCGTAATGAGTTTTTCTTTTCAGGTTTGGTTTACGGAAAATTGTCTGGTATCACAAGGAATACACTAAAGACGGACATTGTCAATTTGCTGGAAGGGTGTAATTTGAATTTGGATGATGTCAAAGTTGAATACAATCGGAGTTTCACACCAACCTCTATGTAATATTCTTCTTTTTAGCTTATATTGGATATAGATGCTTCCCATTCCTACTGCATTGATTGAACTACAATGATCAAAGAATATCTAATTGCCCTTTTGATCCTTCGATCATTGTTTGAACTGCAATGATCAAAGAATATCTAACTGCCCTTTTGATCCTTTGATCATTGTTTATGTTGGATGAAAGTCCCACGTCGGCTAATTTAGGAAATGTTCATGGGTTTATAATCAAAGAATACTCTCTCCATTGGTATGAAGCCTTTTGAGGAAGTCCATAGCAAAGCCACGAGAGCTTATGCTCAAAGTGAACAATATCATACCATTGTGGAGAGTCGTGTTCATCTAACATGGTATCAGAGCCATGCCCTAAACTTAGCCATGTCAATAGAATCCTCAAATGTCAAACAAAGGACTCCAAAAGAAAAAGGAGTCAAGGCTCTTTGAAAGCATAGTAAAAAATGACTAAGACTCCAAAAAGAAAAAGGAGTCGAGCCTCGAATAAGGGGAGACATACTTTGTTTGAGGGGGGGAGGTGTTGGATGAAAGTCCCATATCGCGGGTAATTTAGGGAATGTTCATGGGTTTATAATCAAAAAATACTCTCTCCATTGGTACGAGGTCTTTTGAGGAAGCCTAAAGAAAAGCCATGAGAGCTTATACTCAAAGTGGACAATATCATACCATTGTGGAGAGTCATGTTCATCTAATCGTTTGAACTGCAATGATCAAAGAATATCTAATTGCCCTTTTGATCCTTTGATCACTTTAATACAAGTGCATCCTTAACCCTGGGTTAATTAGCTTACTTGTTAATCTATTGATTATGTGTTCTTTAAGTGTGTTGTAACTTGTAATCTTAAAACGGATTGCATTTCTAAGGAGCAACTCAATCGATTATTTAAGAACTATGAATATGTATTTGAGTAACACTTTGTTTGAGGTTGGTTTTCATTAAATATTTATGGATGATGTAATCAGGATGATGCAGTTCCCTTCCCGTCAGGCTTATGATAATGCGTTTCGAGTGATTGGAAGAAAAGGTCGCTTGTACAGATTGGAGCGGGTGATGTTTTGATGAATACATATCTAATAATGGATTTGTTTTTTGTTTTTTTTTTTCAAAATTTGAGAATGCTATAACTTTTATTTCTGAATTTCAGGCTGATCGTTCGCAGTGGGACATTCTTTCACCTTACAGCGGAAAAACTGTAATGTCATTTTTTCTTAGAACTATGAACTCATTATCAATAGAGAAATCTCTATTTTCAATTATATTCTTGTTTTTGCCCTTGCATCTTTGATTTTGATGATTAGAAACCAATTATGAGATCCCATATTGATTGAAGAGAGGAACGAGTGCCAGCGAGGACGCTGGGCTTCGAAAGGGGATGAATTGTGAGATCCCGCAGCGGTTGGAGAGGGGAACGAAGCATTCTTTATAAGGGCGTGGAAACCTCTCCCTAGCAGATGCGTTTTAAAAACCTTGAGGGAAAACCCGAAAAGGAAAGCCCAAAGAGAGCAATATCTACTGGCGCTGGGCTTGGGCTCTTACAAATGTAAGATCCCACGTCGTCGGTTATTCTTTTATAAGGGTGTGAAAACCCCTCCTTAGTAGACGCGTTTTAAAAACCTTGAGGTAAAGCCCAAAAAAGAGAATTTCTGTTAGCGGTGGGCTTGGGCTGTTACACCAACCCATCCTACTTTGGCTTTGTTTGTCTAATAACTAGAGAAAGGTATCATGTGGTTGAATGATATGGTTTCAAGGATCAAGCATGCATATTCAATGGATCGTTCCTTGTGTTCTTTTTTGTGTTAAATTATTTAGAAAGAAGTAAAAATGTTAGCTAAGGTCCATGTGGTTAGAGTCTCCTTTTAGTACCTTCTCAAGATTGAAATTGTAATGACTGCTTCAAACCAGGAAGGTTAAAGGTTTTTATCTTAAGATCATTTGTAAAAGATAAAAACATGCACCGTAGTGGTTAAAATTTCAACTGACTTGAAACTTCAAGACTGAGGATTGGCTACCTTCCTGGCCATAGGGTTGTACTCTCAACACTCGGGTTTGTTCTGAATTTTCTTCTGTGAGGTTCAATTTTCTTTGCAATATATTGTTCTCTAGATGGGGAGAAAACTGATACCACTGAGGATTTGAGCATTTATAGGTCCTTCTGCAAGGAATACCTCGAAACGCATTGGTAGAAGATGTCGAACGCTTCTTATTGGGCTGTGACTATGATGCAACCTCGATCAATATGTTTTTCAGGTAAAGATCGATAATTCGTGACGAAGTTCATAATTAGTATGCATTACTTGTAGGAACTTTTGTGTGATGCATCATTTATACATCATTGTAGGGCGTCCTTTCCAGAACCCATGAGACTGGCTACAGTTCTGTTCCCTTCACCAACACAAGCAATGCACGCATTTCTTACAAAGAACAGAGGGTTTTGCCTGAACAACCAAATTTTGATGCGGGTTCTCCAATAATTAGCAACTGTTATCATCTATATTCGACGCATATCTTGTGTTGGCTCGATGGCTGGGCGTTTTGTTAGTGTTATGAGTATGACTTGAATCTTCGTTATCTCAAGCCTTCAGGTACTAATCACATTCGTTCAAAGTGACCTTAAAATCTTTCTTTTTTCACCAAGTTTTCTGTTTGTTTGGGCTAAAGAACTGCATCTGTAAGGAAGGATATTTGGATTTTGAAGTTATTTATGAACAATAAGATTGTTGAAGTTATATGATGTAATGTTCTGTACAAAAATGTCCCTAATCACAAACAAATATAAGTATGTCCTCTTGAATCAATGGGAGAACTTTTGTGCACTTTTGTTTAAGAAATAGAACTGGATGTCAGTTTACTTGGAGTGTTCATTTCCGACGGCGGGACGGGGTCTAACTAGGTGGAGAATGGAAGAGAGTAGGAAAGAAAAAGCAGCGAGCTATCCCCGCCCCCGCCCCGTCACGTCCCATTTGCAATTTTTTAATTAGTTTTTTATTGTCGTCATTGATTGTAACAGCGTTACCCCTCTGCTAGTAGATATGGTTCACTTTAGCCTCTTACTTATTGCCATCGGCATCATATTTCTAAAGCGCGTCTACTAGGGAATGATTTCCACACACTTATAAATGAATGTTTCATCCCTCCCTCCAACCGAGGTGAGATCTCACAATTCTCCTTCTTGTGGCCAGTGTCCTTGTTGTCACACCATTCGGTGTCTAGTTCTGATACCATTTGTGCCTTAGTCCATCGCTAGCAAATATTGTTCGCTCTAATCCGTTACATATAACGGCCTCATGATTTTAAAATGTTTCATTCTCTTCTCTAACCATGGTTATTATTATTACATATATAATATTAATTTGTTTCTATCAATAGGTTTTTTAAATCGAAATTTTAAGTTGAGATTAACTATTTAAATAAAAAAATTTAAACGAAAAAAATAATCCCTTAATTGAGAATCCGATTTCTATGAATTCTTGAGAACCCGATTTTAAATCTTGAGAATCCAATTTCATTTTTAAATCATGCTTATGAAAACTATAAACAAAATTACCCATTATAATTATATGCTTAGACGCGGTAAAAGCAAAGAATGAACAAGAAAGAGTGCCTAAACTCATGGTTCTTCAACCCTTTTACTAGAGTCATAGCTTATCTCAATTGAGAGTCCTGCACTGCTGCGTCTTATTTAGACCGCTGGCAGCCTTAGCTAGAGCTACTGTATGTAACATTGGTAACATTGGGGTCAAATATGTCCTGCGTTGAACGAAGATGAACCAATATAGGACCAAATTCCTTCATACTCCCATTCAAAAAGAAAGGGAAAAACAAAGAACCTAGAATTTCCCTCAGGCTGCAGGCTCTGTTGGCAACACAAATTTACTGTCCTCACTCTTCTTCCTACTCCTCTCCATTTCTTTGGGATCGCCCCTACTGTTTCCACTCTTGTTCTTCCTGTTCTTCTCAGCCTTCCTGCTTCTCTTCAGAGTCTTCCGTGCTAATGTTCTCAATGGAACTGTTATGTCCATGGGCAAAAGCACCCGCTCTACACCATGCCAATCGAGATCTTCAAAATCTCCATCTTCGTACTCCACTCGGTACCATCCTGTATCGTTGTCGAACTCGATTATGACACCGTAGTAATACCTATCACCGAACATCTTGTTTACAACCCTTCCTTCTAGCCACTCACCAAAACCTGTACTTCCTCCAAGTAAATTTTCATCTTTCAGAGAATTACAAAGAGAAAGGGCAGTGTCACAAGCAGGTATATCAGGCACCCCATTAATTACAATAGCAGGCTCTCCTGGTAGTTCATAAACATTGGAAAATGATGGTTCAGTATCCTGTTCATTTTTCGGGATCTCCATTTAAACAACCTTTATTTCGAGCTCGCAGCAAACGCACCGTCCTATGAAGAAAAAGAAACATAACAGCTTCAGCTTACTAAAAAGGGTATGTAGCCAAAATTGGTGTTTTGTTGATTGGGTCAGAAGGTCATCAGAGCTCAAACTAAAATGAAAGTGAATTAAGCAACATACATGGGGCAGAAGAAAAGGAGGATAATGAAAAAACATACCTCGTCGTTTGCTTATTTTAAGAGCATCTGCTAGTTATACTAAATTCAATAAATATGTGAATCTCACTTTAGCAGCCCTGTCCCTAGTTAGTACTTCCAATCCAATGACAACATTACATATAACTTGTAACAACCTGAGCCCACCACAGGCAGAGATATTATCCGACTTGAGCTCCAATCCAATGATAACACTACACATCACTTGTAACAATCCAAACCCACTACTAGCATATATTGTCCGTCCGACTTTAGCTGTTACAAATGGTATTAGAGCCAGACATTGGGTAGTGTGCCAGCGAGGACGCTGGGCCCTCAAGGAGGATGGATTGTGAGATCCCACATCGGTTGGAGAGGGGAACAAAGCATTTCTTATAAATGTGTGAAAACCTCTTCCTAGTGGACACGTTTCAAAACTCTGGGGGAAACCCGGAAGGGAAAGCCCAAAAAGGATAATATCTGCTAGCGATGAGCTTGGACTATTGCATCACTAAATCGGTCTGAGCTCCTACCCATGTTTTCTTGTAAGAGAAGTACAAGAAATTATTACCATACAAGAAATAATGAACAAAAACCAGAGGTTACAGGCAAAATAAAACATCAAAAAATCAAAATTTACTTGAAGTTCTTTCAACTTCAGGTCCAACCTTCATTTTCAACTTCTGAGGTATACCCTATATATATACATATCTATATATATATATATATACATATCTATATATCTATATATATACATATCTATCTATATATATATAACCCTACACACACATGTCAGATACATGAGAAATTTCTGCTTCTTTATTGTATACAATACTTTTTGTAGTGGCTCAAAGATGGAAATATCACTGAACTTAAACAAATTAGATTCTCTGGGCAAAACAAAACAAAGCTAACGTATCTTTCCAATCAAATAAGACAGATGAAGAATTATATGTTCATGAGTATTCCTTTCATCCAGAATAAATTCAAATAAAAAGGTAAAGGTAATTAGCCCCGAAATCTATTTGGTTCAAATTTGACCAAACATCAGCAGGCTTCCTCTGCCCAAAAAAGCATGCCCGTGTTCCATCCATCAAGTTTCAGAGGCAGAATCAGATTTCAAAACTTCAAAAGCACATTTGAAACAAGAAACAAAAACAGAGAATGATTTGGCGGCTCTCTCACCAATAATTGAGAAACCTGGAAGAAGATGCTTATATATAGATATCTAAGCCTCAAATTTCCTATTTCTTCTCCAATGAAACAATCATAGACCCTAAATCAGTATTAAATACCTCTAAAACACCTTTCGCAAGCAATTCGAGGCAACGAAAACCCTTTCGATTAAATCAGAGGTTTCTCTAATTCCAAATCAATACTTTGCTAGGTCAAAACCCTCGATTAATCATACAAAAACCGATCATTTGGATTCCCAGGAGAAATTACTATTCCTCTGATAAATTCAAACAACATGGAGTAGAAATCATTAGTTCAATTCGAAAGATGAACTCACAGAAACACACCTGTGAAAACTATTGGTTCAATGACGATTATCAGTTGCTCGAACTCCTCTCCTCGTCACCGTCTTCTGCAAATAAAGAATGATTTTTACCTAAATTCCCGCATTTCTTACACACCATTTTTATTTTTATATTTAAAATTTATAAATCGACAAAATTCACAATTAAAAGCTATAAATTGTATTTTAGCTAATTTTTTTTATATAAATTAATTCTAAATTATTAATTAAACTAATATTAACTATTATTGATGGAGCTTAAACTTGAAGACTCATGAAATAAATGCATTTCTAACTTAAATAAAACATATAGGAAAAAGAAATAAATAATTAAAATAAATTAGAATTTAGCACTATTTTAATTTAATACAATCATGCATATGAATCCATTTCTTAAAGAAAGGGCTTTAAAAGTGGAGTCGTCGAGTGCAATGCAAGAAATTTTGGGAAAGTAAAAAGTATATAAGTCACAATAATTTTTTACAATAAAAAAAATTAAAATAAAATATAAAAAAAGTTCACATCATTGAGAATGATAATTTCTACCTATGCCCTACCCATTAAAAATTTGTTTAAGAAAGATTGAATAATCCGTTAAATTTTTAATTGCAATTTTTAATTGACGGTTTAGAATCTTATTAAATGTAAAAGTTTATGTATGTAAAATAATTAATTTTTAAAGTTTTGAATATTTTCGAGTCTTTCCTTTCTTAAACCTTCTGAAAAAGAAGAAATTGCTGATAAACGACTATGATTTGAATAATGATTTATTTTCTTGTTTACCGTGAAAGAAGACTACTTACTCCTGCTCCTCTTCGAGTCGAGCTACTTCCTCTTGCTGCTTTGTTCCTCTCCGTCAATTCATTCATTTAGGGTGAGAGTGAAAACTCATGCAGTCTTTCATCTGTATTCAAAGGGGACAAACTTGTCGGCAACCAACTAAACTCCTTGTCCAATTTAGATAGGCATATTAAAAATTTATTATACAAGAAAAGTAGTGAGAAGTACATCCAAAATTTCAGAAAACTATTAAATATCTTAAACCACCTATTTGAAATTTCGCTAGTTTTTAATTAAAAAAAGAAAAAAGAAAAAAAAGTAAGATGAATGAGGTGAAAATGGTAAATTTACCATGTAGCTTTCCAAAAATAAAAGTTTTTTTTTTTTTTTTTTTTTTTTTTAAAAAAAATTACTANATAGACAACCAAAACCTTCACAAAAAACTTTATGTCGTACATGCAGTTGCAATCTCGAACATGTATGTTGAGATTCATTAAAATCTTACGTGAAATAATTAAGGGGAAGATCATGAGTATATAACTAAGAAGATAGTGTCTAACTCGACCAAAAAAAAAAATTTTTTTTTTTTTTTTTTTTGTTTAAAAAAAATTACTAGAAATTGATGATAGCAAAGGAAGAATAAAAAGAAGGGACAAATCTTCAAAAAAGAAAAAGAAAAGAAAAAGAAAAAAAAAAGAATTAAAAATGACGAAAGAGTCCAAAAACATGCCCTAAATTTGAAATTTGAATCTGTAAGATACTTCATAGACAGGAATAAATGTGAGGCGGCAAGGGAAGGACACAAAAGTCAGGGACCTCACGTGACAATCAACCGCCAAGTAAAACCTTAATTTTAATATTTTAAAATTTTTTATTTTCTCTTTGGGTAAAATATAATTTGAAAATGGTCCAAATGGGCATAATTTATTAAAATAAAATGGTCTACAAAATTATATTCTCATTAAACTTATAAAGAAAATCAAAATAGGCTTTAATTAAAAATAAAAAGAAATTGTGTTCAATAAAGCAAATAATAATAATAATAATGGGATCCAAATAATTTATAATATTCTAAAATGAAACTAAAAAAAAAAAAAAATGAAGTTAATATGATGAAATAATCATAGACTATGGCAGATTATTGCTTCACAAGAAATCCATTATGTGTGTGCAAACAATGAAGTGATCATTATAGTTTAGAAGTTCAACCACCAAAGCTTGGCTTTTGAAAAAGGTAACCAAATTGTTCTATGATGTTCAGTAAATTTATTGGTTTGGACAGGAATTGCATGGGCTTTGAAGAGCAGAATAGTAAACAAAAGGGGGAAAGGATGAACACCTGTCACAAAGGCTGTGGGTTTGGGTTCTTATATAAGAAAGAGGCCAAAGGCCAAGGAGTGTTCTGACATTGATTACAACATCATCTTTGTTTTTTGAAACAAACAACTCCGAATCAAGTAATTCAAATTTCCAAAATCCCTTCTCTTCTCTCCCCAGATTTCTAACTATTTCATTTCTCATTGCTCTGCTAGTTTTCTCTCATTTTGAGCTCACAGATTGCTTTCATGGTGCATGTAGCAGATTGCTGAAGCTAAGATGGTGGCTACTACTTGCAAAGAAGATGGACAATGGAGGTGGATTCTCTCTCTCTTTTCTCCTCCATTTCTCTGTTTCTTTTCTTTTTTTGTTTTTTTTTTTGTTTTTTGTTTTTTGTTTTTTTTTTTTCCCTCTCTTTGTGGTTCAGAATCTTGAGATGGATATGAGTATTGAGAGTGAAATGGATTGATTTGGTTGCAGTGGAAAGAAAATGGAAGTTGGAGAAGGTTTGAAGACTTTAGAGTGCTTAAGAGGAAGATTACTTGCAGAGAGACAAGCTTCGAGATCGGCCAAAGAAGAAGCAGAGATTATGGGGAAAAAGGTAATGGAGATTTTCTTGATCACATTTCACATTCTGCATTTCTCTTTGATTCCATTCTCTAACATTGTTCTTCTGTTATTGTGAAGTTGATAGAGTTGGAGAATCAGATTAGAAAGGAGACAGAGGCAAGGGGCAAAGCTGAGAGGAGGCTTAAACTCCTGATGAAGAAGCTTGAATCCCTCAACATTGCCTCCACATCAGTAACCTCAGAAAATTCAAATTCAACAGAAATTTCCACAAATTCCTCAGCCACAAAAGAAACTCAAGTCCAAGAATCAAGATCAGAGAGTCTCGTTTCAACAATCTCGGACAATAAACGCGAGAAAGTTCAAGAAATCATCATAGATAACAAACCTAATCAGATTTCTCCAGATCGAGCCAATTCAAGCCCTAACTCCAAATCTCCAAACAATTCCAACACCGATTCCCACCGATCCTCTCAAATCTCTCAAGTAAAATATCAAAGGTACCAAAATTCTATCACAGTGTATCAAAACTTCACCACTTCTACACGAATTAACCTAGGCTCGAGACTAATCGAGACTACCAATGCTTCGTAATTGTTTGAAGCTTTTCAGCAGAAGGAAAGGAGAGAGAGAACGAACATTACATAGATAAGTTGGCCGCGTCGGTCCCCGGAGCGGCACCGGCGGCGACGAAGACGAAGATGAAGGGAATCCATGAGAGGGGAACAGATGTTCCTGATGCTGTAAAGCAGCACGTCATCAGAGGAAACGTCCAGAGGCCATTTGAGAGAAGAAATCAAATGAAAGCCATAATGAGTATGTAAATTAATTCTACTTGTTTGTAATATTTTTGAAAGAATCTCAATCTCTATGTCATATTATATAATAATAATAATTTTAATTTTAATATTTACAAACTGGCATTTGTAATTCTTTTTCTGAGAGAGAGAAATTATTTTTTTTTATTTTTTTTTAAATATTCTTTTAATAAATGTAACCTCAAAGGCTGGACAAAATGTCTCGAGAGGAGGTTAAAGATTCAAATGGCTTTTGTAGTTTTCTTTTTTTTTCTCTAAATTATAAAAAAAATATATATATACTTTTTTTTTAATTACTGACTGGTTTGGTTGTAGTTAAATGAAAATAAAAGTATTTTTTATATGAGGGATGTTTTCTTTTATAAGTTTACACAATAAATATATACACATGTATGTATATATGTGTATATATATATATGGTAAGAATAAAAAGTTAGGTATGACATTAAATTAATTTGTATAGTGAACTTTGGAGCTTATGAAATGGAATCTAAATTAGGTTTAGATGAAGAAAAAGTTGGTCTAGTTGACTCGAGAATTGTAAAACAGCATAATATCACATGCTTTTCAGTAGAATATAAATAACCCAACATGCCATCATACATTATCGACAATATACATAAATCAACGACATCCATAGGGGATTTTTCTTTTTCTTATTTCTTCTTTTTTTTTTTTTTTAAGTCC